TTTCCAGAATTTTTCCAAGGATAGAGGTGAGACGAACTGGCCTATAGTTTCCCAGTTACTCCCTCCTCTCCTTCTAAAAATAGGGACTACATTGGTCTTTTTCCAGTCCTCTGGGACTTGACCAGAGCACCATGAGTGCTTGAACAGCCATGCCAGTGGCTCTGCTATGACACGGCCAATTCCTTCAGTACCCTTGGATAAAGTTTATCTAGGCCCGCTGATTTGAACACATCCAGCCACTCCAAATTGCCTTTCATTATATCTGTGCTAATAGTTGGTGGGCTGGTGTCCGTCCTGTGTCTATCTATGATCTGGTGGCCACATTGGCAGTGAGGAGGGGGTGGCAACTGCCTGCAAAATCCAGTGGCAGCTTTGGTGGCAGCCAATCTCAGGGGGGCATATACCCCTCTGTGCGCCCCCTGCACATCACCTATGAACTACTATGAGGTAAGTACATAACTGTTTGAATAATCCTGCTCAAATACTTGTTCCCAATATCTCAATGTTGAACTGCAAGGAGGTATTAAATGAGGTCACCCAGAGGTCTGTTCTTTATCTGGTAGTGTTCAGGGTCTTCATCTGTGGCCCATGGAGTCATCATTCAGCCTTGGATGCTTTCCAAGGGGCCAGAAGTTTAGAAGCTGGACAAGTAGTGGCAGCGTTAACTGCTGTGGCTACCATTTGGAGTGCAAACTTCATGGGCCAGTCTCATCTGGCCCATAGGGCTGGAAATTTGGCAGTGGGAGAAGCCTTGGCAATTAACAATTCTACCACCAAATTTCTGGCCTCAGAAGCAGTCCCATGAGACATAGCTCTGTGTCTGGCCTGCAGCTGACCTCGCATGATTCATTCAGTTTGTAGGGCCTGTGAGTCTGACACCCCAACTTGGAGAATGGAACTGAGTGTACACTTGATAAATTTCCAGAGGACACCAAAGCAAATTGGGTAGCAGACACTTTGGAAGATAGGATTAAGATTCAAAATAAACTTGATCAAATGGAAAAATGGTCCCAAGTAAATTGGATGAAATTAGGTGTAACAAATACAAAGGTGTACTGCACTTAGGACTGAACAAATCACGTACTTAAATACAAAATGGGAAATGACTAACTAGGCAGCAGTACTTCAGAAACAGATCTGCTGGTCATTGTGGACTACAAACTGAATATTAATCAGGAGTATAATATTGTTCCTTAAAAAGTCTACTATTATACTTGGATGTAATAACAGGAATGTTATATGCAAGTCACTGGAAGTAATTTTTCCAATCTTTTCAGTACTAGCGAGGCCTCAACTGCAGTACTGAGCATTTCATTTCAATGAAGACATGTACAAATTAGAAATAGTTCAGATGACAGCAACAAAAAAGTTTAGAGATCTAGCAAACTCAACACATAAGGAGAGATGGAAAGAAGTGAAATTATTTAGGGAGGAGAAAAGAAGATGGAGAGGTATTTGGTAACAGTTCAGATAAAGAGGATTGTGAACAAACATTTCTGCGTGTACAAGAGCTGGACCAAAAAGGAACAATTTTAAGTTGAAACAAGGGATATGTAGGTTATACACTAAAAATAACTTCCTGTATAGGTGGTTAAGTAGTAGAACCAATTATCCAGCAAGTTTGTGGACTCTGTCATTGGAACTTTTTAAGTATAGAAGGTGCAGACATTTTTCCTGGGTGGTTTATTCAGGGATGTTTCTGCCTTGAGCAGTGACATGACCTACCTAGGTGACCTCCTGAGCTGCTGTCTAGCCCTCAGCTTTTTTTTCTTTGATACTAGAAATCCCTAAAATGACCAGTTTCACTAGGCTTTTGAAAGAGAGCATGGAGCCAAGGGCTGCCAATAGCTGAGAAATTTGGTGTGGAAAAATTCAAAAGTATAAAAACATCTCAGTTTGATACTTTCTTGCTGTTTTGACATTTAAGTTAATTTTAAAGAGGGTTTTGTTGTTGTTGTTTTTTAAAGGGTCAACATTTAAATGGTTATTTTCAAAACGGCCACAATGTTTAGATTGACCCAAGCCACTCTCTTCTAGATTTTTGGGTCATGAAAATTTTCAGTGTTGACTTTTCATTTGGATTTTGAATGAAAAGTATTTCCAAAATCTCATTTTTTTTGCTGGACAGGAAAAACATTTATTTTCCTGGACAATCATTTCCTGCCCAGCTTCACTTAGCAGTGATGCTCCCTCCACCACTGACTCTTACTGAGGAAGAACATTCAGTCAGTTCCTGTTACATGGTTGATGTGAATTGCAGATTCCTCTGGACAGTGGGTCCTACACGCTCTCTTGCTTTTACTTTAAGTTATGCCTGGGGGTTTTAAACAAGATTTCTTTGTTTAAAACACAAAGTATATTTTTAAAATCAGGAGAGTAAAACCTAGTCTAAAGTGTATTCAAGTCAATGGCTTCATTGGGCTTTGTATCAAGCTATATAATTAATCTTTATTAACACACTCAGACAATTGGCATTTATATGGCTAGCTGTTACAACTGTGCACACACAGTATTTGTGAACACAGATTAGGTCCCCAGTCTTGCAAACATTTATAGATATGAGTAACTTCATTGAGTTCTATGTTACCACTGGCATGTAAAGATGCTTTGATTTCTGTGGTATCTATGTATGTGCATGTCTGAAAATGGAGGCATTTATATATTTCAGATGGCAACTTGACACCAAATATTTTTTTACTGCTCTAATAAGGAACATGGAGAGGCATCAGATTGGTAGCAGTTTAAATTCGTTTGGGATTTTTGATGTATTGCTGCCTACTTGCTGATTAGACAACCTTCCTCTTCCTAATTTATCACTGTAATATTAGATTTAGTACAAAGGGCCAGCCTGTAAAAGGAAAAAAAAATTATAAATTATACTGACCAGCTCACCTTAATGTGAGAGTGTAAGCAACACCAAGGTGCTTCTATTTATCACCATTTGCTTTGATAGGGCACCATTCATTTCATTTATCAGTAGATTCCCTTCAATTATTTCTTGTTGAAAAGAAGTACAATCAGCATTACTCAGTTAGAAATGTGTTTGCCCAAAAGCTTTTTGTAAAGCCCATTAAAGGAAAGCAGCTACTGGATGTATGTGTTAGATCTAGAATGTGTCTCTCATCTACCTGTTGGTTTATATTTTGTGGTTTGGAAGATGTTCTTGGGTTTTTTAATTATTACGAAGTGGTGGAACAGACCTCTTACCTATGCAATCAAAAAGAATGCAGACACATTAAAATGTGTCTTCCTATATCTGAATATATTGACATTTTTACTGAAATACCTCCTAATTTGTCACACTTTTGCCCAGAACTGCTGGCCATTTGTACTTCTGGCTTACCTTAGGGTGGGTCGCGCACACCGGAAGTAGTTGTGGGGGTGCTAGCCCCAAGGAGGAGAGTTGGAGGCCAGGTGTGGCCAAGGCTGCCTGAGCCCTGTGGGGGTACAAGACCCTGAGGAGGAGAGGTGGAGGCCAGGCACAGCTATGGCCACCTGAGCCCACCTGTGGAGGGAAGCCCTGAGACCCCAAGTAAAGGGGGTGTTATGAGCAGTGTGGAGCCCCCAGTGTGAGAGGGGCAGCGTGTGGAGCCCTGTGAAGGGAAAGGGATCTCAGCCAGAGAGAGAGAGCTGAGTCCTGACCCCAGTAAGTCCTCCAACGTGGGGAGGCAGAGTTTGGGTCGAATATAACACCAGTAGTAGTACCACGACCTGCTGCCCGGGGGGGAGTCAGAGTCCCCTGTGAGACCCTGAGGCCTCAGTCATGGTGTGAGGTAACCCCAGTTCCCCACCTCCATGGAGGAGGACCCAGAGAGGGGGACCCTGGGATAAGAGTATGGGTCATACATCAAGGCCTGCCAGAGCTTCCCCTGACTGGCCCAGGTGAGGGCCAGGACCAGGAGGGTCAGAAGGGCAAGGAGGCCCACCGAGAGGGACTACCAAGAGCCAGGGGCCTGGGGTCCTGACTGGCCTGGAGGTGGGCCGGGGCTAGTGTGAGCCGAAGGTCCCAGCGAGGGGACCACACCCACAGGGGAACTGATGGCAGGGCGATATGTGGCTCAGTATGACAGCGGCAGTGTCTGCCTGAGGAGAGGAACCCAGGTGGGGTCCTACAGCAGGATTCTGGGGCCCATCGTGGGGGGACTGGCACATTTGAAAACATCATGATGTCATCAGCGAGGCTTGGGCTGCAGTGTAGGGGAGGAATGGAGCTTCAGATAGCGCCCCCTAGGAGCAGGGCGGAAAATGGGTAGCCTCCCGCCTAATGACATCTATTAATTAATCAATTAAGACCAAGGTATGGCAGGAAAGAAGGCAGGCAGTTTGCCCAAGAACAGGTGGGCGAGCCACATGGAGATCGGCACCGGTAGGCCCCCTGTTACACACACCCTACTTTCCTTAGGGGCTTATTTTGTCGGCTCTGTCTTCCCCGTACCCATGCCTCACGAATGTTTGCTTTTCATGATTTAATTTATTCTTTTCTAGTTCTGGGCCCCCTTCCCCTGATTTTGTCCCTTCTGGGCTTTGGCCCAAGCTTGGATGGCTCCTGGACCCAGATTCCCCTGAGGATCCCTTTCCTCTCTCACTCTAGTTCCCTCAGATTCTGAGTCCCTCCTCCCTTTTCCTTTCTGGTACTGCCTCCAGCCATCAGCATCCTACCGCACGGTTCCACCACCCTCTCAGTGGCTGTATCATTGTGTGGTATTCTCCATACAGAGTAGTCCCTTGGTCTGTTTTGACCCATGTGGGCCAGCTGCATGCCATTTGCTCATCAAACCACCACTGCAAGCATAGCATCCCTGGGGTGGACAAATGTTGTTTTCCTATACCACGGCTTTTCCCGGCTTGGTTTTACCAGATGGCCACATACCTCACTACTCCTGCTGTCTGGAACACTTGTCAGAACCTCTTCCAGCTGACCTCGAAATTTAGGTGCCTCACAAATACAGTATCTCCCCAGTTGCCAGTCGTCCAGCCTGGCTTCCTCTTGGACCAAACACCTGCATCTTCCCTCATGACTACTACAGGTGTTACCACCATTGTTGTCACTGGTTCATGGTTGCTGGAGGGGCTGCCATCTGCTTTCCCTGATGCCAGCTCCTGCTCAGATCCACCAGCTCCCATAGCAACTCACAGTCCTCCCTCTTCACCTCTTGCTTTCCCTGTCTCTGAGACTCTTCCTTTCTTCCTCATGTCCAGCCTTCACAACTCCCTTCCAGCTACAGCCCACCTCCTTGGCTCTGATTCCTCACTGGACTTCCTCTCTCAGGGTTCTTTCCTTGATCATGACCCTCTACCTACTCTATCAGTTTCTGCCTCCTGAGGGACCCCGCACCGGGTAGTGAGTATGACCTGCTCCTTTCTTAACTTTTCAAGCTCCTGCTCACACCTAGCCTCTAGTTCCCCCAACTTGAAATCTAGGCATTCTAATAAAAGCAGCCTCAGTATATCTCTTGTTCGCTCAGCCACACTCTGGTTTTCTGTCAGGGCTTTCTCTGGGAGCTGCATGCTCTCTGCACTAGCTTCTAAGAGCTCCTGGATCTTGATCTTCTGCTTGGTTATTCACATTCAGTTCCCTTTGCAGACCTTGGGGTTCTAAATGGTCTCTTCCAGGCCCAGGAGCTCCTCCTGCAGGTGGACATTTTCCTCCACCAGCTGCTCTTTCTCTGAGAGATTCTGCTGACTTTCTTGCAGCTGGTTCTCTATTTCTTAGAGCTGGGCCTTCAGGAATTTGGCTACTCCTGTCTGGACCTTGCTCTGTTGGCACCTCTCAGTGAAATTCTGAGTTCTGGCCTCCAGTTCTTGGATCCTCTGGCTTAGTTCAGCTTTCTCTTTCTGCATGTCCACCACAGGGGCTTGGCTGTGTCTCTAGCTATCTCTAAGGTTTGTATCTGGGCAGTTAGAGTAGCTAGTTCTGCCTTTTTTTTCCCTAGCCAGTAGTCTTGGAGATGCTGCAAAGCCTCATCCCTCTCCTGGAGGGTTCTGAACTGCTCTCTTCTCTGGGCAGCCAGCTGTCTCTACAGGTTGAACTACTCCACCACCACAGAGGCAATCATAATCATTTCCTCTGAGTGCCCACCGCATTGCTTCCTGCTTATGCCCCTTTTCCGATGGTGCTACAATTATCTGCTCTATGGCCAACAGGCACCTTAGCTCCTTGTTTTTACTTTCTTTGCTCCCTCCCATCAACTGTCACCTCAAAGCAGCTACTTCAGCCTCATTTTTCTCATATCATTGCCATTCAACTTCCAACTCCCACCACAGATGTGTTGCCTTCTTGGGCATCTCAGAGATCAGCTTTGTCTTACTCATTTTATCTTGTACTGCTTCTAGAGTTTCAGGGTCTGCACAACTCTCTGCTCCCTACCTCATGCCACTTGCTTCCCAAGATAGGGCAGAGTACAACGCTTGCTCTTCTAATAGTTCCTGCCCCCATGCTGGCACTCACTTTAACTGCTGCAGTTCACTTTAACTGCTATGACTGCACCTTACTCGCTCCAATCTGCTTTCAAGTGCTAGAATCTGTTTAAAGTGCCACTTATGGTCCTTTTAAACTATTTACCTACATTCTCCACCATTGGTCCTTATCTGCAAGCAATCTTAGCAGTTGGCTAATAATTATGACTCTTTTTGGTTTCAGGAGAAATTATAGTTCCATTTAAATTCTTACACTATATTCATCACCATGGTATCTGATTACATAATATCTAGTCCTACTGCAAAATTCCCTACTTGAAAATTGACATATCAAACCCACTTCTTTGATTCAACATTCCCAAAACAGAACAAATTTTATAACTGATCAGTCAGAAATTCACTGACTGCTGAGGAATTGTGATGGGAGGGAGGGACAGAGGAAGATAATAGATAGCCTTTACTTTTTGGTTTCTGCGGTGCTTAGATATCCTGATAATCCAAATTTTGTTCATATTAAAAACACAAAACTCAAACTTTGAGATCTGGGCTTGTGAAAGGGCACAATCTGCTAGACATTCTCCTATATTGGTAGTATACACAGTTCTGCTAAAGTCTTCTCATCTTAAGTACTTTTTTCCTCCAAAAGGGCAGCATCTGGCCTTTAGAGTATTATCATAAATGTGTTCTTTTGGAGTGTGCAGCCTAAGAACAGTTCAAATGGTAAACCTGGAAAGCTATTAGACATCAGGAAAAATATCAAAGGGAAGAACAAGTGCATATTAATAAAACATAAAACATTTGCTCCATAAAATCCAGAATCATCATTACTGCTTTAAATTAGTTAAAGAGTAATTATCCCCAAGATGTTCTGGTACCTTCTACATCTTGTTTGCAAAAGTCTGATAAAATGGTAAAGACATGGCAAAGATAGGAACACTAGATCTGAGATGCTGGGTTAAAAAAGGATAGAAAATTTAAAATAAACTTATCATGCAAGGGCAATGGTAATGCAGTGAAGATGGGACAGTGTTAGCATCTGTGTATGTATGTACACATGTGAACATCTGAGTGCACTGTGAAGGTGGTATTGGGCAGTCTTATTTAATGGAAAAGAAGATTAAAATTCCAATTGCAGACATTGTCTTTACTTGCTTTTGATAAATGATACAGTCCTAGTGGAAAAGTACAGGTGATTGTATATGTGAGTAGGTGCATTATTTGTTGAAATCTTTTGAGCCTAGATTTTATTAATGAATTTTAGGGCTGTGAAATATTTTGTGAACAGGTTCTTATGAGAAACTTAATTTCCAAGAAGGCCATCTTATTAGACTTGTACTTTAGGATTTATTCTGTAAACTTTTCCACATTTTAGCTATGATAAAAAATACTTATGCATTTCAGTGGTCTAAAGACCGTGGTCAGATTACTCTTTATCTTGTATATATAGGGTGACTCCAGCAGGGAGCTTGGTGCTCCTTCTATTTTAAGGGAAGACAGGCTGAAGGTGAAGCAGCCTGGGGCAGGACCCCATTACAGTGACCATATGTCCCAGTTTGGCCAGGAGGGTCCCAGATTTCATAGGTTATAACAGCATCCTGGCTCATGAAAAATGAAGCAAAAGTCCCAGATTGGTGTCACCCTGCCTGTATGTGCTGGGCCTAGCACCTCCTGAGTAGCACCTAGAGGCTGGGGGGTGGGTTGGGTTGAGCACTGCTCCTCCTGCCTGGGGCAGGCATTGGCTGGGACAAGGTGGGCTCGGGGAGGGGGCCAGGGCCAGGGCAAGCCAGGATGGCAACCCACTACTGATAATCTCATGCCCTGCCACTCTGGTCGCTGCTGAGGCCCAGGCTGCACATGGCAGTCCCAAGTGGCTGCCAGCAGTGGGGGAGGTGCTGCATGGCTGTGCAGTGCAGGATGGTGGGGCCCGGGGTGCACCACACAGGGACTGCTCCAAGCTAGGTCCAAGATCTGTGCATGGGGGATGGAGCCTGTATGTCTGCCCCCACCTCCCAGGTCCAGTGCGTGCAGTGTGCCAGCTGGCTGGGCCCAACCTTGTACACTTGGGCAGAAGCTGGTAGGCAGAGCAAGCCACTGGCTGCAGGGAGCAGATGCTGCTGCAGCAGCCAGTGGTTTCCTTGCCAGGGAGTGTAGGAAGCTGTGGGGCACTGATCAGCATGGGGCAAAGGAAAGTGGGCACTGAGCTTGGTGGCACTGTGCACTGGGCTAGACAGTATGCTGACAGCCTGGCAGCACACCGACTTCCCCCATGCATGCTATGTGCTGGGCTGAATGAGGAAACAGGTGTTTGTGTGTGCATGTTTGTGTCTGTGTGTGTGGATCTGTGTGTATGTGTACAAGTGTGTGCCCCCACACACCTTCCCAGATTTCCTTAAAATAATATGGTCACCCTAGATAGTCATACTTCCTGGGTTTGCTATTCTGGGAGTCCATAATGACATCATGCAAACTATAGGGGGAAGAAATGGCTACCTTGCCATTTACAGGCCCCCTGGTTCATTGACTGGTGGCATTGGTAGGAAGGTGCACACACTCTTTCCTCATTCTTTTGAGTTTGGTGGAGAGATTCATCCGAAAGTGCTGAAGGAGCTGGCTGAAGTCATTGTGGGACCGCTGGCAAAACTTCCAAAAGTTGTGGCACTTGTGGGGAGATCCCGGAAGACTGGAAGAGGGCCAATGTTGTGCCCATCTTCAAGAAGGGGAGGAGAGAGGACCCAGGCAACTATAAACTAATTAGCCTAACTTTTATCCCAGAGAAGATCCTGGATAAATTCATGAAGGAGTTTACATGCAATAGGCTTGCAGCAGATAGCTTTCTGAATGACAGCCAGCATGGCTTCATAGCAGGCACGTCTTGTCTTATCAATTTCATCTCCTTCTATGACCAGGTAACTCACCATCTGGATAAGAGAGAGGAACATTGTACATTTAGACTTCCAAAAAGCCTTTGATATGGTATCACATGATGTTCTCACAGGAAAATTAGAGGATTGCAGACTTAACTGCTTGACAATTAGATAAGTAGGAAGCTGGCTGTGGGGTAGGACCCTGAAAGTTCTAATGAACAGATCTGTGTTGTCCTGGTGAGAATTGGCTAGCTGTGTCCCTCAGGGGTCTGTGCTTGGTCCAGTGCTTTTCAACATCTTTATCAATTATTTGGATGTGGGGGTGAAGAGCTCAATGGCCAAGTTCGTGGATGACACTAAGCTATGGGAGAGCATGGTCAAGTTTGAAGATAGGCTGCAGATACAGGCAGACCTAGACAGGTTGGCAAGTTGGGTGGATTGGGACAAGATGAAGTTCAACACTGGGAAGTGTAAAGGGCTCCATCTGGATCTCCAGCATACTTATAGGGCTTGGTGGCACCAAATTGACTAGCACCATGACTGAAAAGGACCTAGGGGTAATAATAGACCATAGTATGAAAGTGAGCCATCAGTGAGATGCTGTAGTCAGCAGACCAAACAATACTCTGGCATGCATCAACCGATGCATCTCAAGCAAAACCAAGGAAGTGATTCTTTTGCTTTACTCAGCATTGGTCAGACTACAGCTGGAGTACTGCATCCAGTTCTGAGCACTGCACTTCAACAAGGATGTGGAAAAGCTTGAGAGAGTCCAGAGGAGAGCCACACATATGATCAGAGACTTGCAAGGCAAGCCATATGAGGAAAGGCTGAGGGACCTGGGACTCTTCAGCCTAAAAAAGAAGAAGGCTGAGAGGGGACTTGGTAGCAGCTTACCACTATATTAGGGGAATACATCCAGGACTTGGTGAACAACTGTTCACCAATTAACCCTTAGGGGAAAACCAGGAATAATGGCCACAAACTCCTGGAAGACTGTTTCAGGTTTAACACTAGGAAAAACTTCTTTACAGTTAGGGTGTCCAGACTATGGAATAAACTCCCTTCAGAGGTGGTGCAATCACCCACCCTGGCAATCTTCAAGAGGAGACTGGATGATCACCTCAGTTGGGTCACCTGACCCCAGTTGTCTTTCCTGCCTAGTGCAGGGGGGCTGGACCCGATGATCTTGCGAGGTCCCTTCTAGCCCCTAGCAATCTATGAATCTATTATTGTAAAGGGAGGATTCTAAACAAGACTTCCTTTCCCCCTACATCCTGAAAAGAATACTCTGCTGTATATTGTGCTAAAACATGACATTTAGACTTAAGCAGTTTAAATAGTCCCGTGAGCTATGTTATGAATGCAGAACAGCTGTATGTATAATTAAGTAAAGTTAATTAAAATAAGTTAACTAGCAAGTCAGCCAGAGCTTTTATTCCTAAAAGTTTTGTTGTTCTCATTTCTGTTGAAACTGCCATAGGGTGAGATCCTTAACCATTGTACAATGGCAAAGTCCCAGGCATTTGAGTTTTTAAATAAAAAAACTGGTATTTTGAAAAACAATGTGTTCCTGCTTTCTACGTGAGGCTCTGTCATGAAGCTGTAAAATGTAGAAAAATATTTCCCCCCCCGCCCCCGTTTCGAATTACAGATCTGGGCATGATCTCCCTCTCTCATCCTCCAGTGAAAATCTGGAGTAACTCCACTAATTTCATCAGGGTCATACTAATGTACCATATATGCTTGCAAACAACACATACCTCTTCTCCCAAAATCAGACTCCACCCCCCCCCTCAAATTGGGGTGCATTTATTAAGCAGGGAAGCTAATTTTCTGCCCTAAATTGGAAACATCCTGATTTGATTCCTGCTTCATAGTGCAGCAGCTGTGATGTTACTGTTCAAGCAGCTGGCTTAATGATTCATTGTTCTTCACTCTACAGGTGGTAATGATCTTCTATCCTTTTTATTTGTCCTGATGTTCCACTAATCAAGCCAACCTTTTAAAGGGCATTTTTGTTGTCTGCTAGCTGGTCCTGGTCTGTATGTCATAGCCTCTTTAGCTCAGACTCTTCAGTTCTTTAGCACAAACTCTTTAGCTCTTTTCAAAATCATAGATCTACCCATGAAGACCAGTCTTCAGCAGCAGCTAGGGATTCAAATTTAATTATGCAGGGAAGGGAGGATGAGTCATCTGACAATTAGGCTATCCCTGGTCTATGCAGCCATAACTCTGGAAAAATCTTTTTTCTTCATTCTGCCTTTATAAAACAAGATGCATATATTGGGGGGGG